TGAAGAATTCTTGACCAAAGACTGTTTAATCTCATCTACACTTCAAAGAAAAAAATTACAACTTTATGAATTAAGTCACTACAGAGAACAACCTGAGTTCCCTTTGTCAAGGAAATATCTGCACTCAAGAAAGGGAAGGAAGAAAAGCTCTGGGCTCTGCTGCCAAGCAGTCCTCAGCGGAGTGCCAGAAGAGGTGGCCCTGCACCATCTGGTGGACAAAGCTCTTGGAGGGGAACTGTGCGGCCAAAAGCCTTTTGGGCTGATCCCACCTCCTGCCCAAGCAAGACTCCAGTTAGGAGAGAGGCAAGTCTCACCACCATCAGTCACCACCCTTAGAATAACAATTCGACTCAGCAAGTGCACACAAGGCTTCTCTGAGCAGTGAGCTTCAGTTACTTTTAACAGTCTTGCTCTCCTCTGTTCGCCACGCTTCCCTGAGTACAAAGGGTCTTCGGGTTGTTGCACCAAGGGTTAACACTGTGACACTTGTCTGCTTTTAAATCACATCCAACTTGTAACTTCCTCATCATTTTTTCCGCAGTGAAAAGCTCAGCAGGGAAGCTGAGGTCACCCAGTGTCTTTCATTCAAACCTGGGCAGTACATTTGTGCTTAGGACACATGGCATTCCCAGGCAGCCTCAGACACATTTGCTGGTTAAGCCCAGCCTGTAGCTTCCAAGTTTCATCCTATTACCCTTCTACTGCTCTTCACCGCTAAAGGAAAACAAAGTTTTTCTTCCACATTTAATTTGTTGAGGAATCAGTAGCTTTACTCAGAGCCATACTGTCCTTGAACAGTCCCTTTCCCTGCTCCCAGCTCAAGTCTTCTGTGTTTAGTCTTAACTGCTAAATTCATAGAATCATAGAATGGTTTGGGTTGGAAATTAACAGACACGTGTAATTCCAAGCCCACAAAAAAATTAACTCAGGGGAACCTACACTACCAAGACCCACCTCCAATAGCTGTATTTTTGGTAAAGACAGGAGCTTTCGTTCTGAAGGCACACAAACAAACACAGCAAGAGAAACATCACCTGCGGCTAATTTTGCAGTTCTTTACAAGGGATTTCATCCTCTTGCAAAGCCAGGTCTCACCCCACTGGCTCAAGAGGAGGAGAGGGAAGGGTAAAGCCGAGCGCAGGAAACCCCAGCGCCAGAACGATGGGCTTTCCCACTCAGCGAGAGCCAGGGCGCGGCGGCGCCCACGGCAGCCAC